CAATGTCGGTTTTCTTTTTAAAATGAAATCAATAGTGGTAGTTGTCATCCCTGTCGGTTTCTTCCCATCACTATCCATTTTTTAAGCCAATAGTGATGATTATATATATATATATATATATTCTTTTTTAAACTAAATAAATTCACAAATTTATATTCCTACTACACCTATGTCCAAATGGCTTCAATTTTCTTTTGCAATTATGTACATCCAAATTATGGCCCCACATAAGATCTTAGGTTTTTCTTATTATTTTCTTTATTATTATATTTTTCTTTGTGCTAAACAGGACAAAAGAGGCCCAATTACATGTTGGGCACACAAGAATTTTGCATCCACCTTGACTAAAAATTTGTCCCTAGGGCACATAAGACCCCATGGAAAAGTTTGGCACCATTCCACATCATTTTGGGTAGGCTCAGTTCATCCTCTAATTAATCGGTGACGTCGCGCGAAAATTTAATTAAACAGCAGAAAGCACCAAACCATCTCAGAAAAATCCCAAACCTGGTGGTTCCTTCTCCCATGGCACGTGCAAGCCTGAGAAAAAGTTTGAGACTAATACAACATCGAAATGCATATGAACCATAGAAACATTGGGAACATATGTGTTTAGTCATTGTAACATGAGACGGCTTCTATAGGTTTGTGAAGCAGGTATGTACCGCCTATGTCCAAATGGATTCAAATTGTTTTTGCAAGCATCTACATCCAAATCATGGCCCCACACAAGATCTTAGGTTCTTCTGATCATTTTTCTATTATTATATTTTTCTTTGTGCTAAACGGGACAAAAGAGGGCCAATTACATGTTGGGAACACTAGAATTTTGCATCCACCTTGACCAAAACTTGGTCCCTAGGGCACATAAGACCCAGTGGAAAAGTTTGGCACCATTCCGAATCGTTTTGGGTAGGCTCAGTTCAACCTCTAATTAATCAGTGACATCGAGTGGGAATTCAATTAAATCGGAGAAAGTACCAAACTATCTTAGAAAAATTCCAAACTTGGTGTTTCATTCACCCGTGGCCCGTGCAAGCTTGAGAAAAACTTTGAGACCAATATGACACCGGTATATATATGAACCACAGAAACCTTGGGAACCTTGGTGTTTAGTCATGGTAATATGAGACAACTTCTATAGGTCTGTGAAGCAGGTATGTACCGCCTATGTCCAAATGGCTTTAAATTTTTTTTGCAAGCATGTACACACAAACTATGGCTCCACACAAGATCTAAGGTTTTTCCGATCATTTTTTTATTATTATATTTTTCTTTGTACTAAACATGACAAAAGAGGCTCAATTACATATTGGGCACACTAGAAGGTTTGCATCCACCTCAATCAAAAATTGGTCCCTAGGGAACATAAGACCCTATGGAAAAGTGACACCATTCCGGATCGTTTTGGGTAGGCTCAGTTCAATCTCTAATTAATCGGTGACGTCGCACGAAAATTCAATTAAATCGGAGAAAGTACCAAACCATCTCAAAAAAATCCCACATTTGGTATTCATTCACCCGTGGCATGTGCAAGCTTGAGAAAAAGATTGAGACCAATATGGCACTAGAATTTGTTGTTCTTGTCTCACAGCACATGAATTACATGACAAACACAAGCCGAATTAAACTTAAACCTTACAAATTAAACCTAAACAAACACTAATTCAGGGCGGTGGATGTGCAGCACCGTACATTTGCATCCAAGCACGGTAATTGATGTCACAGATTCTGTACCCACAGCCATCGATAAAGGCCAATGCTCATACGATTACACTCTCTCGTTCCTCAAAAGACCAGTGACATGGTGGTCCATATATGTAACCTACTAAACGACCATTTGCCCGTTAGTAAATCCTATGCAGAACTGACGTCCTACGTTAGTGTGCTAACCGAGGTTTCCAGTATAAATTTATTTGGAGATACAAATGTTGCACGTATTTTGTACCAATCTAATCAAAGTTATGGCATGAAAACCGGAAACGATAGGTAACAAGGGACAGAGGAGTAGGCGTCCTCCTGGGGAGACGTGGGTGAGGGCTGTGCTGCGTGAAGCGCGTCGCGTCTGCGTGAAGCTCTGCTCTGTGCTATCGTGGACATCACCCAACCTCTCCTTTTTGGGTCCACAAAAGCCACGTGCAAGACGTCCTACTATTCTTTGCAGCGAGTTGGCGTTGGCCCTTCCACTTGCCCAGCCAATTGGTACTGTTCTCTATTGTTCAGGTTTCTGCTTTTCAGCTGGATGGAAATACGGAAGTGGCAAAATTACTCCTGGTGTTCCGGTAGACCGCCTGTTCTTATCGATGCAGGTCCTCAGATTTAATATTAGGAGAAGTAGCGTCAAACCTCTCGAGTCCGGTGAAGCTCAAACAAGATCTACGACTCAAGATCTCTAATCCTCGCAGTCACAGACCGATCAGACAGTCGAGGATATGCCAACTGTGCTATCGGAGTGCACTAACGAGGATCCCTGATCAGGCTGTTTGGCAGGACTAAAAAATAAGCCAAAATACTATTTTAACTGATTGTTGTGACAGAAAAATACTGTTCTGTCTGGAAACACTGTTTACGTAAACAGTGTCAATGTGAGTGCGTTGGCCAGCCCAGCCCCAGCCGGCCAGCCAGCCGAACGCGCCCGATGTCTCCGTCGTGGCCATGTCTACGCCATGGTCCGGTGTCCCCGATGGCGTCATCACCACCTGTGTTTTCTCTAGCAGAAAGGCAGATCATCTTCTTGAGAGACAGATGCCCAAGATGATAGGCTTTCTTATGGGCAGTCATTCTGTTGACCCTTTTCTAGTAGCTAGCGAGCTACACCTCTATTCTTTGGGATGTACAATCCCAAAACTTTGTATACTGTTTTAATTGTTATAATATATGTGTTGTTGTCAAAAAAATGTTGAGCAGACAAGATCAACTCAACACCATTATAGTATACTAGTATCAGTTGGTGTTTAGTGGGGCTCAAATTACTTGTCCACAATTCCTATTCATCAGTCGCATGGTTTTTGTGTTGAGTTCAGGCGACGTTGTGTCCATCGGTGGCTGGTATCTGTGTTGTGTTTTTATCGAGTTCGGATGTGAACCAGCCAAACAACTTACTCCGAAAAGTCCTGACAAATGATGACTGAGATTCGGTCTGTTAACTGTTGCCTGAAAAGAAGCAATATTTGAGGCGGCAGGTCTCTTATTTGTCATTTGCAATGACAAAATAGGCTCAAATTGTTAGTACAGCTGTAGTGTATTGGAATCAACTCAACAGCATTATACTATTTGTCACTGGCATCGCAGCATTTTCTTTCTAGAACAAGAACATGGTGGAACATTTTTTTTTCTCGAACAACTGAACAAGCACATGGTGGGACAATTTTTTTTGTCGAACAAGAACATCATGGTGGCCCGTATTTCATTCAAAGGTACTGGCATCGCACCGTTATAGTACAAGTTGAAGTTGAACACACAAGATACACAAAAACAGAGGATGGCAGCGGCGGCCGGCGGCGAGAGGTGGAGCCTGGCCGGCGCCACAGCGCTGGTCACTGGAGGTAGCAAGGGGATCGGACACGCCATCGTGGAGGAGCTGGCCGGGTTCGGCGCACGGGTGCACACGTGCGCCCGCAGCGCGGCGGACCTGGAGGAGTGCCGCCGGCGGTGGGCCGAGAAGGGGCTCCGCGTCACCGTCTCGGTCTGCGACGTCGCCGTGCGCACCGACCGGGAGAAGCTCATGGACACGGTCAAGGCGACCTTCGACGGCAAGCTCGATATCCTGGTAAGCTGAAGGTGAAGCGAAAGCATTCATCAATAGCTGTCAGCTTGACGGCGTAGTCCATCTGTGCACGTACGTACAGGTGAACAGTGCGGCGCTGCTGATGCTCAAGCCGCCGGCGGAGTACACGGCGGAGGACTACTCACGGATCATGGCGACCAACCTGGAGTCGTGTTTCCACCTCAGCCAGCTCGGGCACCCGCTCCTCCGGAACGCCTCCGTCGCCGGCGGGGGAAGTGTCGTCCACATCTCCTCCATCGCGAGCTTCGTGGGCTTCCAACAGGAAGTGCTCTACAGCGTCACCAAAGGTACATAGTTTTCTTTCTAAAAAAATGTTATATATGTGACAAATCGTTTCAGAAAAGAAATCAAAGGACCAAATAGAATAGGGTACTAGAGTCCGGACAAACTAGAGGCCGGATGAATGGATACCACCATGCGGTTGTTTCCCCTTACAAGAGGTCGGAAGGAGCCAAAGTTTTAAATAGCGCGCTATAGAGGACGCTATAGCGCTATTTAGCGGATCTGGAAGACCAACGCTAAGCTACCAGGATTTTAACGCTAAACGATTTTTTCCGCTATTAGCTGCTAATAGCGCGCTAATTCCGCTAAATTGTGGTTCATTTAACGCCGCTATTTGGCCTGGGCTTTCATTTCCATCGGCCCAATTAACGTGCAGGCCCAAATCGCTGGGATATGAACTTTGAACTCACGTATGTCCCTATGTGATGTATGATGTATCATTTATGAACTACGAACTTTGATGTAATGTGTTAGTAAGACTTTGAACTATTTGTCCCTATTGGTATTTGTAATGTTTTTATCTTCTATATCTTTATTATGTGTAAAATTACATGATGTTTGACATATTTTTTGCTCAGCCGCTAAATGGCTTAGCCCGCTATTTAGCTCGCTATAGCCTTTCTTAGCCTTTTGGAGAGGCTGCCGCTAAGAGGCTTAGCCCGCTATTTAAAACATTGGAAGGAGCCCCCTCGCGTCGTCTCTCTCGGCGACTCGAGGGGCGACGCCTCCCCCGCCGGCACAGCGCCTCTCCCAGCCAGCTCAGCCGCTGCCGCTGCGATTCCCCGGCAACAATGTCTGTAGCGGCGGCGGACACCAGGCGGCGCCCAACAAAGCAGCCACCCGCGTGCTTCTTCTCCTTCCTCCACCACATCACTTCTTTCCAACTACAAAATTTTATCGACCTGTTCTTTCTCCGGCCAGATCCCAGCTTCTATGGGCCAGATCCGTGCTTTCGGTCACTGGATCTATGGTGTGTGGCCCGGCAACACGACTCCCAGCCGGCTGTGGCTCCACGGTGGTGGCGGTGCGTGCGCGCGTCGTACAACATCCTGGTCCGCAGCTCCGCGCACAAGCTGCGGCTGCTGGCCAGGGAGGGGCTCGGGTGCAGGTACACCTTGGCCACTGGGTGTCCCAAGGCGCGCCGTCCGCCGGTTCCTCGCCGTGGGGCTCCTGCTCGTCGTCGCAGCGTCTGCTGCGTCACGGGCCTGCTCCTGCAGGGCTCTGCAGCAGCCCTGAGCGGCGGATGCGGCATGGCGCTACCCCCTCCACCCTGTGCGGCAGACGCGGCAGCTGCAGCTGCCCTACTGCTCCCGCTCAGCTCGTTGCGCGACCCCCACATCTGGGGCAGCGAACACGAGCAGGGCCCGGCGGGGCTTCTTTTGGTCGAGCAAGGCCCCTGGCCGGGCTGTGGCTGGTTGGGGCCAGCCTGCGGCGGCTAGTTCTAGCACGGCTGGTCGGGCCTGGCTGGCCGAGCCGTGGCCAGCGAGAGTCTATACAGTAGACTATGATTTGCCGGAACAAATGAAATCTGGTGCCAAGCCAACGAAGAAGAAATGCTCGGTTGGCCAGCATAGCATAGCATTCACTGGCTAGCGTCGCGCGTGCAGGAGACCTGCTGACACCTGAGTTGAGAGCGGCCCAGGTCAGCAGTCAGCAGCAGCGCATCGTGCGCGGACTGACGACACGAGTGGCGACCGGTTCGTGGCTGACTGGCAGCGTGGTAGACGTCTACAATGCTTCAGCTACTACTGTAGGCATATGGAATCTATGTAAAAACCCTGCCTGGCTGTTACTCTAGGCCAGCAACGATGACACAATTGGTGTCGTATCCCTTTCTACAGGCGTCGCTGAACATTTTATTTTCTGCTATCACGAAAGCCTTTTCGTGGTTGCTGCAGCAGTTGGACAGGTCTCGGGGTGAAAACCCTTACGAGCCTGTGCTCCGGGTGTCGATGGTCGCGTTGCTTCCCTTCTTGAAGGCATCCATACAAAGCACACCTGCTCTCGTCCGTGCATGGCGTGTCTGTCGGGGATCTAATATCGGGGTACCCAATGAGGTGGAACTAATAACCATCGAACGTTGACGCTCCCGGTCAGACAAGAACGCTACTACGCTTCTTACCTGAACGACGGAAGATTGGTTCCGCCTCGCCCGATGTCTGAGGGCTGGCTCCGCCCCGACCGATGACCGAGGGCAGGCTCCGCCTCACCCGACGGCTGAGGGCTGGCTCCGCCTTGTCCGACATCCGAGAGCGGCTCCGCCTCGCCCGACGGTTGAGGGCCGGCTCCGCCTCGCTCGACGTCCGAGGGCGGGCTCCGCCTCGCCCGATGGCTGAGGGCAGGCTCCGCCTCGCCCGACGACTGCACTCTGCTCCTTCATCATGACGAGCAGGAGGTAAGACAAGACACTCAGGTCAACCGCAGTACCGAGAACCATGCCCTGCACGCTTGCAAGAAGGTACCGTCAGGATACGACAGGACATGCGCTTTAAGCCTTTTCCGACCTGACAGAGCCCTAACAGTGTTGTAGGCGCCGACTTTTGTCCTATAGTGTTGTAGGCGCCGCCGTCAGCCCTCGGGCACGGATACTAACACAGGCATACGACAACTGCTACAGTACAAGGAAGAAATCACATCATCTACAGTACAGGCATATAGTCATTTCCCTGTCTACTCCCCGCAGAGTCATGGCTCGGCGCCCTAACACACCACACCGTCCACCGGGGGAGGATGGGACATGACCACTCGCTGAAACGAAGCCAGAGCCCGGCCCTATCAGGATCAACGAAACATGCTATCCCTGGCGTGATCCGCCATGTCAGCAGGGCAGGCTCAAGGGAAAAGGAAGACCCGACGCCCTCAAAGGACCTTCTCTACCTTTGGTTTTTTCCTCTTTCTCCCATATGTAACCCCTACTCCCCCTTGGTCTATAAAAGGGAGGGCAGGACGCCCCACTAAAGGGATGGATCAATTCCACACACAACACACAGTTAAGCAGCAACCGAACTCTTGGCGTCATTTCGACCTTTCCATCAGAGACTTAGGACCTGTCCCTCTCTCGACCATTTGTACCCCCTAATACGAACCTTTTTTCGGTACTAATAACACGAGTAGCAGCAAACTGAACGTAGGGACATTCTGCCCAAACCAGTATAAACCTTGTATCCTTTAGTATACCATCCGAGCCTAACACGCAACAAATATAAATTTACTAGTTGGTGTTTGTTCGAAACAACGACAGTTGGCACGCCAGGTAGGATCCTTTGTGCGTTCCAAATTAAGCCTCGGATGGCTAGCCACGCAATCAGCTGGGTCCCGGATGCACACATGCGTTTCCGTGACCTAGACTTCATCGTCACGGTGGGAGGAGAGTTGATGTTGGCCCATGCTGCCATCCAATCTCTTCCCTCCACCGGCTTCAACTACGGGAGGCTTGAGCACCAACCCGGCACCTCCCCTAGACCCCAGCCGTCCAGGGAGGACCCACGCCGCCTCACCCTCTCCCCGGAACACTCCATGCGAAGCGCCCTGACGGCGCTTCCGTTCGGTCTCTGCAACGCCGCGGCGACCTGTAGCCACCTTGTGGCACAGCGCACGATCCCGTCCCCTATGAACAACGAGTTCGTGGGGATGATCGAAAGCGTCACAAAATGCCTCCATGGCCTCCTCATGGAGGGGCCGGGGTCGGACTCTGGCTCTGACTCCAGCAGGGGGAGCCATCACTCCTCCTAGAAATGTTTCATGGCGGGTACCCCCGAGGGACACATCGAGAGCATCTCCACGGAGGGGCTACCCCGACAGGCAACCCCAGTGACGGAACTGAAGGGGGGACGGTGACCCCACCTAACGTAGGGTGGAGCAGCTAAGAGCCCAAAAGCAGGAGATCGATGAAGCTGGACTCGCGCTTGTGCGTGAATACGTGGAGGTCGATCGGGAGATCGAACGCCATGGAGACGGTGGGCGCGCACGCGCCATGGCCCATGACATGAACTGAAGGATCATCACCAATGATGAAACCCTTCCTCACTTCGCTCGGGCAAGCCAGAACATCGCCGCCGCAACAGCCTTGCTCCATGGCCTTCCAGAGGCCACAACGCCCAAGGATCGTCGGGCCCACCACAAAATTCAAGTGCTACATGAGCGTGCGGCGGCGCAGCAGGCGGAGAGCTTGTTGTCTCGGTGACACGGGCTAGACACCAGCCAGCGTACGCCCTCGGTGCGCCCCGCCAGGGACACATCAGTCCACCAAGCACCACAAGGCGGCAGGCAGCATGCTGCGATCCCAATACATTAATGTCTCAGGGGCAACCGCGACGCACGCAGCACCCTCGACGCTCGCAGACGCACCTACAGCGACCCAAGGGAAGGAGCCCGCCGCGGCTATCATCCTCATCGCGGCGGACGCTACAATAGCGGCGAGGACCGGAGCCCGAGCCCCGGTCTGCCAGGCCCTCAGGCCTTCAGCCGGCACATCCTCAATGCCGCTTTCCCGCCAAGGTATCAACCACCAACCAATATCCCTAAGTACTCTGGGGAGACAAACACCAGACTTTGGCTTGAAGACTATCGGCTTGCCTATCAATCCGGTGGTCCAGATAATGATGACTTCTTTATCCACAACCTTCCACTGTTCTTGGCCGATTCGGCATGAGCGTGGTTGGAGCACCTGTCGTCCAACGCAATCCAGAGTTGGGTGGATTTGAAAGAGATCTTTATGGGAAACTTCTAGGGCACATATAAGCGCTCTGGGAACCCATGGGACCTCAAGAGCTGCCGCCAGAAGGCCGATGAGACCCTCTGCGGGTACATTTGACGCTTCTCCCGACAGTGCAACGAGCTCCCTAATGTCGCCGACATCGACGTGATAGGAGCCTTCTTGTCCGAGACGACCTGCGAGTCTTTGGTTAATAAGCTGTGATGCAAGGGCCCGCAAACCACCAAGGAACTCTTGGACATCGCCACCAGCCACACCTTAGGAAAAGAGGCGGTTGGAGCGATCTTCGATCGCCTCGAGGGCAAGGCAAGGCGGGACGAGGGTGCTAGTGAAGGCACCTACAATCGTTCCGCCAAAAGGAAAAATAAGAAGCAATGGCGTGAGGACTCGCTCATGGCCGCTGTTGACCGCAAGGGTGGTCAGAAGCCCACAGAGGGCACTCTGAACCACTTCAAAAAAATGCTCAAGGGGTCATGCCCGAACCACGCCTTTCCTATTAAGCATCTGCTCAAGGACTACAGTCTCATGCGGCGGTTCCTATCCGGACGCTCCAACAAGGGGGAGCAGGGGAAAGATGCTCCCCCACTACAGATGACGCCGAGGAGAAGGACGATGGTTGTCTAATGCTGGATGGCTGCCTTATGATCTTCGAAGGATCAGTGGCCTACGACTCCAAACGCCGTTAGAAGGTCGCGCACCGTGAAGTCTTCACGGCCCAACCGGCCACACCTCCCTTCCTTCGGTGGTCGGAGTCCGCCATAACCTTCAATCGGACTGACCATCCGGATACCCTCCCCCACCCAGGGAGATATCCGCATGTGGTCGACCCAATCGTCGGCCCAAAGCGACTCACCAAAGTGCTAATGGACGGGGGCAGCGGCCTCAACATCATGTACGCCAAGACACTCGACGTGATGGGCGTCGACCGGACGCGCTTCCACCCAACCCGAGCGCCTTTTCACGGCATCGTGCTTGGGAAGCAGGCCATGCCACTCGGGCAGATCGATCTGCCCGTTACCTTTGGGGATCAGTTCAATTACAGGACTGAGACCCTCACCTTCGAGGTGGTTGGGTTCCCCGGAACCTTCCACGCCATCCTAGGATGTCCATGCTACACGAAGTTCATGGCCATCCCCAACTATACATATCTCAAGCTAAAGATGTCGGGCCCCTATGGGGTCATCACCGTCGGCACCTACGAGTGCGAGGTCGAGTGTTGTAGCCACGCCACGACTGTCGTCGCCTCCGGGGAACTCACCGCCCTCTGGATGGAGGTCGCCGAAGAAGCTCCCGATGCGAAGAAGTCGACCAGGTCATTCGAATTGACAGAGGGCTCCAAGGATGTCCTCACAGATCTCAGCAGCTCCAAGGGTAAAATGGTACGCATTGGTACCACACTTTCCTCTTAATAGGAAAGCACGCTCGTCGACTTCCTCCGAGATAACAAAGACATCTTTGAGTGGAAACCCTCGGATATGCATAATCGGAGACATGGTGTGCGGGTGTAAAACTTTGAGTAAAACTGGATGAATTGCTAGACCCTATGCCCCCATGGCTACAGTGTTTTTGTTCACCAGCATAATCGAATTCACAGTTCCTCGTACCCCAAGCTTTAGAATCTGCCT